AGCTGGATCGGAGATATAAAAGACTTGTTTTGCTTGAGTTGCCATAATAAAAGGTTCGTCTTTATAGCTAAGCTTATTCGGGTTAACCAATGTCAACCCTAATTCATCCACCAAAACACCATTATTACTCGTCAACCCAATTGCACTTGAATACAGCAATTCTAAATTTGGTGTAGTCAACCTCCCAAATATCTTGAATTACTCCATAATAAGAAAGGGATGCCATTACAGGAGAATTATCTTTTGAAGTAGCAAAGTGCATTGATTCAAGCAACTACCATCACACCACTGTTTTGCATTGTACTCTTTTCATCTTGAAGCTTAGTATAAAAGGAATAACCGTTTACATCATATCCACTCCATGTTATGACATCAAAGTTTGGGCCATGAGCTAACCATTTCAAAGTTTCAGATGCATCATCAATTGTAACGATCTCGTTCTTCAAACCACTTCAAGAAATTTTTATTGTGTTCATTCAACAACCATTTTTCATTCATCCTTGGATATCTTTGCTTGATCATTTCTTTGTGAGTAGATAAGAAAGGCTGAACTTCATCGATGTTATTCAAGATGTACAAATGCGCTTGTAAAACTTCTTATCGACTCATGTTTCTACCTTTAACACCTCGGGTTCCCTTCCCAAATTGTCTTCCATCATGACGAAACGTTGGAATCCCTATAGGACTTACTTCAGAAAGATAATGCATGCAGAACTCAATTGCTTCTTCCGCAATGTATCTTTCAACAATGGATGCTTCAGGCCTTGATGGGTTTTTAACATATCCTTTCAAGATTTTCATATAACGCTCAATTGGATACATCCACCTTAGATACACGGGGCCACATAACTTAATCTCTCTAACAATATGAACAATTAAATGCACCATTATGTCAAAAAATGAAGGGGGAAAAACATCTCCAATTTGCATAATATCAACACGACTTCGACTTCTAGGTTATCCAAAGTCTGAAGGTCGAGTACTTTATTACAAACGACATTAAAGAAAAAACACAACTTGCGTTATAACATGTCTAACCTTCTTTGGCAAAATGTCCCGAATAGCAAGCTGGTAAAAGATGTTGCATTAATACATGACAGTCATGGGACTTTAATCCAACTAACTTCAAGTCTTTCATTGACACTAGCAGTTTAATATTCGAGCAAAAACCACGAGGCACTTTGATACCTTTAAGACATTCACGGAGGCTTTTTTCTCCTTCTTAGACAAAGTATAACAAGCTGGAGGCAAATAAGTCCGCTTACCACGTGATTGGGGACCTAATTTCTGTCTTATGTTCATATGAAGCATATCTAACCGAGAGTTCAAGCCATCTTTCGTCTTTCCTTGAATATTGAGGAGGGTTCCAATAAGGCTCGTCACAGACATTCTTTTCTACATGCATAACATCAATATTGTGCCTTACATCTAGACTAGACCAATAAGGAAGCTCAAAAAATATGGATTTTTTCTTCCATTTTTCCTTTTCATGGGAAAGCTGTTTGGGTCTTTCCAAACAAACAATGAATGTCTTTCACCTTCGAATACACTTCCTCTCCTGTTTTAGGGTTAGGAGCGATTTGACTCTCTTGAAAGCCATTATAAGCCTTCTTCAACCTCCGATATGGATGATTAAGCTGGTAGAAATCTTCTATGTCCTAGGTACACTTGTCTTCTTCCCATGTTTCGAGTTGATGATAACACGTTTCTTCCATACAAATAGGGCATGCATTATGTCCTTTGACACTCGTATCCACTTAGATTTCCATAAGCGGGGAAGTCATTTATCGTACAAAAAAGCAAAGCTTGCAATTTAAAGTATTCATTACGATATGCATCAAATACCTCAACACCCTCTTCCCAAAGAAGTTTTAAGTCTTCAATCAAAGGTCGTAAATAAACATCAATGTCATTTCTTGGTTGTTTGGGGCCGGAAATCATCATCGACAACATTACAAACTTGTGTTTCATGCACGATCGAGGAGACAAGTTGTAAATTACTAACAAAACAGGCCATGAACTATGTATACTACTTAAATTGCCATAAGGATTCATCCCATCCGTAGCAAGTGCTAGTCTAAGGTTTCTCCCCTCTTGACCAAATTCGGAAATATGTCATCAATTTTTTTCCATTGCGAGAGAATCAATTTGGATGTCGTATCTTCCCATCACGGTGTCTTTCATCTACATGCCACGTTAAGCTCTTTGCATCTTTGGCATTAGCAAATAGCCGCTTAAACCTTGGAATTATTGGAAGATACCACATTACTTTGACAGGGGTTCCCGATGAAATTGTCTTATCACAATTATCTTCTCCATCCTTGACTTTAAACCGTGATGTACCACAAACGGGACAATTATGCAAACTTCCAAACTCCTTCACATACGGGATGCAATCATTACGGCATGCATGTATCTTCTTATACTCCATACCCATCGGACAGATTACTTTCTTTGCTTCATAAGTACGGCTTGGAAGTGTATTCCCTTACGGAAGCATTTCCATTAATAATTGTAGCAACTCGTAAAACTTTTATCCAGTCCACCCATTTTTGGCCTTTAAGTTAAATAATTTTAACACTCGCGACAACCGTGTGAACTTAGAACATCCTATATACAGAGGCTTCTTACTATCTTCGCATAGTTCTTCGAATACATATCCTTTTTCAAATGGCTCTTCACGATATCACGTATCAAATCCTCTAGTCGATCATTGGTTTCTTTACGGATTTCGAGTTGTCTGCGAAGCCATTGGGAAATCTACTACTTCCCCATGCCAAATCCACTTAGTGTAACTCTTGCAAAATCCATCACAAAGGAGATGCTCTCTTATATCCTTCACACTTAGTTGTCTTAAATTTAAGCACTTCACACAAGGACAATAAAAGAGACCTCTATTGTTACCCACATTTCTCCGTGCAAACTCTAAGAACTCTTCAACCCCTAATTCATATTCTTCTTCTATACGTTTGGCATTTATCCAACTCCGATCCATATCTATAACTACATGACGTCTTTGCTTAGTGTGAAAATGGAATTACCTCAATTCGGAGGCAACAAACTTAAACAACTCAAACTATAATCCAAAGCTGAAATAGTACTTGGAACAACAGGTAAAACTCCAGGAACAAAACAAACAACACAAAGAACAAACCTAAATCAACAACATAAGAAACAAACCCAAATGAAAAACAAGAGAACCAAATATAATCAATACCCCAAAGCCCTACACCCCGACGTGGAAACCCATAGCCTTAACTCTTCCGCTAAGAGACTCGGACCGAGCGACATCAACCAACCCAACGGGGCTTGGATAACACCAATCTCAACCCCACGAGAATAACCAAGTGAAAATCACATATTCAAGTCAAAATAAACATGTCTACATACATTAAACCCGGGCGAGAATCGGTCCACGACCAAACAAAACAATCCGAGAATCAAGGAAAATGCATAAAGGTAATTGACAAAACAAGGATGAGAAGCCAATATGATAGACCCACGGACCTGGTCCGAATCACCTCCGGTTCGCGACGAGATCGAAGGTGCGCGAGTGCAATGAGGAGGAGCTCCTAGAGGGTTTCGAGAGAGGTGAAGACGAGGGTGGCGCGTCGCAGTTCTTGGTGCGCGTCGCGGTTCCCGGTGCGCGTCGCGGTTCTTGGTGCACGGCAAGGGTGGTTTTCGCTTGGGGATTCGATTGGGGAAACGGAGGTTACGGATTCGATTGGGGGAAGGAGATGGGAGAGACAGGTGGTTTTCGCTACTGCGATAGGGGCAAGGAGACGGTGGTTTTCGCTCATCGCGAGAATGAATTTGGTAATGGCTAGGAGCAAGGGAAGAATTCCGGAGGGAGTCGAGTCCGTAATTGGGTGCGGGAGTCGAGTCTATAAGGGCAAGAGTGGAGTCTACTAAAATTTTTTAAGACTTTCCACATCGGTTCATGGGGGAACCGATGTAGAAAGTAAAATGGTATATCGGATGACCGATCGAGAATGGCTTGATGACCGATCGGAACCGGATGATCGATCGGAATGAGATTATGACCGATCGAATTGTTTTAAATCGAGTAGATAGCACTTTCCACATCGGTTCATGGGAGAACCGATGTAGAAAGTGCAGGTCAACTACTCGCTCAAACGACAATAAGATCGCTCGAGCGACGCGACCTGCACAAAATTGGCATTCTCGGGTTGTATTTCGCTTGAGCGACACTGGTCTCGCTCGAGCGACGCCACCTCCACAAAATTGGCCTTCTCGGGTGGTTTTTCGCTTGAGCGACACTGTCTCGCTCGAGCGACGCCACCTGCACAAAATTATTGGCCTTCTCGGGTGGTTTTTCGCTTGAGCGACACTATCTCGCTCGAGCGACGCCACCTGCACAAAATTATTGGCCTTCTCGGGTGGTTTTTCGCTTGAGCGACATTGTCTCGCTCGAACGACGCCACCTGCACAAAATTATTGGCCTTCTCGGGTGGTTTTTCGCTTGAGCGACACTGTCTCGCTCGAGCGACATCCACATTTTTTGGTTATGATCGATCAGAATGAGTTTATGACCGATCAAAATTATTTTAAAACAGAGTAGAAAGCACTTTCCACATCGGTTCATGGTGGAACCGATGTAGAAAGTACTTTCTACATCGGTTCCCATCTGAACCGATGTGGAAAGGCTTTAAAAAAATTTCTACATCGGTTCTTTAACAACCGATGTAAAAAGTCCGATGTTAAAAGTGCTTTTTGTACTAGTGGGGTTGCCAGTAGGGAATAATATTTTTTGTCGCTAAAGGTGGAACATAGTTGTAAGTTGTGTTGAAAGATATGGGGTGGGGTTAGGAAGGTGAGGGATTCACGTGGGGTAATGTGTGTGATATGCCATTCGTGGGGTCCTTGTGTATTAGGTGAATGGCTCTAGACATGTGCATGGGTATAGTAGAAGGAAAAAGTAAAGGCGGTGTGACCAGATCATTTAAGAAAATAGGTGTGGGAGATGATCACGTGTTGGGATGTGGTTGGATGAGTGTAATGATGGTGTGCGTGTTGAAAAAGAGATGAAATGTGTAAGAGGTGAGTTAATATACCTTGGGGGTTGGAAAAAATGGTTGAGTATCCTGAAAAGATGAAGTTATGGGAGTAGAAAATTTTGTGGGAGTAGTGTCGGAGGTGGTGAATGACGTGATATTTTCAAGGGAAGGAGAAACTGAATTTGGTGGGTTTGAACCATGAAAGGGGCGAAGAAGAGAAATGCGAAATATTGGGTGAATGCAAGATTGTGCAGGTAAATTCAGTTGGTACGCAACTGCTCCAACTCGACTAAGCACTTTCAAAGGTCTGTAAAACTTGCAAGCAAATTTTTAAGAAGGTTGTCGGGTGACTAAAATCTGACGATGAGAGTGCTAGCAAAGGAAGACCCAATCACCAACGTTGAAAGTGTAATGATGAAGGGATTTGTTAGCCTGAGTTGCCGTGCTTTGGCGATTACGCTCGAGAATGATTTCTAGTTGATGTAACAATTTTGTGTGTTGTTGTAAGGATGCATCCAATGAGATGATGTTGGTGGCTCCTACGACGTAGTCCGATATGCTAGGCAGAGGACAACCATAAAGGGCATGAAAGGTCGTTGTTTTGATGGCGACATAGTAAGAGGAGTTATACCATAACTCAGATAAATGCAAGAATTTGTACATACGCACGGGTGTCACTAGTGCAAAAAGGGGTTTTTACGTCAGGTATTTAGGGCTTTTTACGTCGTATTTAAGTCCGACGTTAAAATGGAAGACGTAAATTTACGCCGGACCCTTTAGCCCGACGTAGATTTACGTCAGTTACCAAGACCCGACGTAATTTTGCGTGGCATATACCACTAAACAGACGTAAAAGCTTTCGAAAATTAAAAAAAAAACAGCAAATTTACGTCGCATATTACGTCGCATATACCAATACGCGACGTAAATTTACATCGCATATACCAATGCGCGACGTAAATTTATGTCGCATATGCCATATGCGACGTAAATTTGCTGTTATTTTTTTTTAAATTGGGTTTATTTATTCTGTTTTACAACTAAAACCTGTAAATATTACAACCAGACGAGTCCAGAGATTCAGTTTTCTTTAGCTAGTAAATTAAAAATATAATATTATATAATTCAAACTACATAATAAATCAATATAATACAAACATACAAACTAAAAAATCTATTACAAACTAAAAGTTAATACAAACTAAGCTACCTAAACTACATAATACACACAATATAATATGAACAAGAACTTAAAAAATTATGTACTAGAATTGTTGAATAAAAAATTTTGCCCATTGTTCTCTAATTTATGTAATATCAGATTTTGGTAATGGAGATGGATCTTGAAATACACTGAAACATGAATTTGACTCTTGTAAACATGCAACATGAATAAAGTTAAATAAACTTAACTAATGTTAAAAGTAATTACCTCCAGTCCAAGAATCAATTAAACTCGCACAAACTATGGCTCTCATTCAATACATTACATAGTAACCACATTCAAACGAGTCTCGTTTGCTTATTACATTGAAATGATGAAAAAAACATAATATTATTTTCAAAATTTAAATACAAACAATAATTATGGTATTTACTTATATAAATAAGTTTCTAATCTTAGGATAAATGAACTGCAAAGTCTTTGTTCTAGGTTTTCCACTTAGAACATTAGTTCTAGACACGATTCTAAGTGAAAAAAGTCATATATTATTCAATATGTATTCACAATTTAAAAACATAATTAATGAATAAAAGATAAAGTTACCCTTGTAATAAGCTTTTCATTTCTTGACTCGGTTTCCGATGTAATGAATAAAACCACACCACAGTGTAATCCCGAGGCATGATTACAATTAACTGCCAATGGAACCTACATTGTATGACATAAAAATTAGTTACAAAAATATAAACTAAAATACAAATTAATATACTAACCCTTCAATGTATGGAGCCAAATATATATGTCTTTTTGAGTCACTCATCCATGTTTGCATATATTGTTGGATTCCAACCTTTGTATTTCCGGATTTTTGGATGGATTGAGGCTCAATGAATCCGTATACTTCGGATTTTCTTGTTCCACACTCAACTTGTCAATGTACCTAAAACAATTAATTATAAGTTGAATATAATTATTATAATCTTAGAAACATAAATGAGAATGACTTACATTGCCCACAATTGTATGATGGAAATGTTTAACATGCAATTTCCCCAAGCAATTTCTAAAGCATCGGGCAAGGAAATGTATAATGGAACACCTGGAATTGTCAATTCCAAACACTCTAACATCCCATATTATCCGACACGGTCTCTTCCTCAACCGTGGTAATATGGTCAACAACATAGAGATGGGATCATCATCACATTCTGTCAAATCCTCATCAATAATAGGTTGTTTTTTATGCTTAGCACGACGCAAGTCCTCCTAAACAAATGATAATAATTAATTAAACATTTATATAATTATAATACTAGAAAAGAGAAAATAGACAATAGACAATATATATATATATATATATATATATATATTACCTTGGTCTCGTGCTGATAGTGGCATAACTAAACGTCTTGGTCAAGCCAAGAATGTCCCGCTTGCCTGCCCCACTAATTGAATTTCTTCATTAGGAAAAGGCACTTGGAGCATTAGCATCATGAACTTCATCAACTACTACTCGTGTCCGATCCGCCTGTAGAGGGACACCATGGATGGTTAAGCCACCCTCAAAAACTCGACCAATAGCCACTAGACGCGGGGGTCATCTTCAACATATAACTCACACTCGGTGTGATGCATCGATCCGAGTATATTCTCCTGAAGGATCGAGCAACGATAGCAAGCACAACTCCCTTTAGTGCTCGACTCGAACAACATCATGTTCAATTGTTTGAGGTGTTCCTTGAGTCCGTTGCTTGAGAGCGGACGAGAGATTCAATTTTCTCATCAAACTCTTGCTTGCAAGGACTCGCCTTATTTGATTTAACTTTTCTTCAAACTGCATCTCCATTTTATGCAAGGCCCCCTGGCTGCAAGAGTCAGCAGTGGTCCTTCGTGATGTTGGACCAAAGTAATCACGAAGGCCCCAGGTTCCACCAGCACCACGCACACGTCCTGAGTAATCTGCTTTTCCTATGGTTGTCGCCAATATATCTTGTCGACCATGAGGAATAAATGATCCTTGGGCTGATCCGCTCAACTAAATCATCCTATAACACATTAACAATAATTAAGTCATACACTAACTTTCACATTAGAATCAATTCAAATTGACATTATAACTTACGATTTTCTGAGCAATGATTCGTGCAGACTCAGAAGTCATTTGTCCATCAGATTTTGTACGGGTTGTCTTCCACATCTGATAGTGAGGGGGTGGAGATGCAAGGTCAGTAGAATCAACTCCTGCTGACTCTTCTCTGGATTTCATGAGACGTTGCTCCAATAATGCATACCCTCCTCGTGACAATACATGGGGTGCATCATTCAACCTCTGACGTTGTTGGGCAACACGTCTTTTATCCTGCCAAGAGGGGTCCATTCGGCTGGCACAAAACTGTAATCAATCCTCCTCACTAATTTGATACTTTAGACAGGGAGATTCATCTTGAAACTTTCCAAATACATACTCACGTGTCAAGAAAGTCTTAAAGTCCCTCCATCTAATGGCAATGGAGGATAAAATCTTCTTCCTCATCACCTCAGTGTTAGGAACATCAAAATTTTGTTGTGAAATGACCAATAAATGTTAAATTCAATTAATAATGATATATAAAGTATTCAACAAATATAGAAATACCTGAACATCCTGCCACATGAGGTTCTTCTCGGTTTCCTCTACATCATCCCAAGATGGAGTAGTAATCGGAACATGGTGTCGAGCTAGTAGTCCCAAATAGCTCTTAAACTTAGCAGCATTTGGGGCAGATGCCTTACCAGAACGTGGATCAACTTCAACTTGAGTTTTCTCTCTAGTTACCCTCCTTGTTGTCAACCCCTTTAACGGAGTGACAGATCTACCTTTATCACCACTTCCGCTCCTGCCACTACCACTACAACTACCAGTACCAGTTGTGGAATCCGACATATCCTGAAAAACAAAACAATATGAAGTCAACATACTTTATAAGTTTGAATAAAAAGAACTAGAAAATGTGAAGATAAACACCTATTATGTTGGTATGTTTTCCCATATCCCTTCATCATGATCACTTCGAATTGCATGTATGTCATCAACTTCATTATCAACTATGTCATCAAATGGTCTACTTGAAAATGAAGGTGTTTCATGTATATCTAGAGACTCATCTTCATGAATTCCGTGCATGCTTCTTCCTTCAAGGACAATTGACCATCTCTCATTACATGGATCCTTGACATAAAATATTTGTCTCGCTTGATATGCCAAAATAAAAGGTTCATCCTTATACCCAACTTTACTCAAATCAACCAAAGTAAATCCTAGGTCATCTGTTCGCACACCCGTATTCCCTTCAACCCATTTACACTTGAAGACAGGCACCCTAAAAGTAACATAATCAATTTCCCATATCTCTTGTATGACCCCAAAATAACTCATAGAAGTTGTGATAGGATTTTTGTCTTTAGAACTAGAAAAATGCATAGATTCGACTTGAATTGTGACCCCACTATTTTGTACTCTACCTTTATCATCTTCTATTTTTTAGTAGAAACAATAGTTATTAATGTCATACCCACCAAATGTAATGACATCACTATTAGGCCCACGAGCAAGTCTCAAAAGTGTTTACGAAGCATTAATCTCAACATATACCCTTTTTTTAAACCAAGAAAGGAAACTTTTGTTATGTTCATTCAATACCCATTTTTCATTCATTCGTGGATGTGTTGCCTTTATTTCGGTTATGTGTTGTGATATGTAAGTGATTACTTCATCGGTGTTGTTCAATATGTATAAATGTGCTTGGTCAACTTCTTTCCGACTAACATTTTTAATCTTTAAATTTCGAGTACCCTTACCTTCACATCTTCCATCATGTCTCATCTTAGGAATACCTATTGGTTCCGATTTTGACATGTATCCTAAACAAAACTCAATGGCTTCTTACTGCAATGTACCTTTCCACAATAGAAGCTTCGGCCTGTCTCGATTCTTCACATATCCTTTTAAGATCTTCATGTATCTCTCAACGGGATACATCCATCTAAGAAAAATTGGACCACATAATCGAATTTTCCTTACCAAATGGACTATCAAATGCACCATGATATCAAAAAATGAAGGGGGAAAATACATTTCTAACTGGCACACTATTACAATTGCTTCATTTTCTAATTCATCTAACTTTTTTGGATCAATTACCTTTTTACAAATGGCGTTGAAAAACAAACATAGCAGAGTAATAGCAATTCTAACGAAGTTGGTAAGATGTTTCGAATCGCCACTTGGTAAAAGTTGTTGCATCAACACATGACAATCATGAGACTTTAAACCAACTAATTTCAACTCTTGCAAAGACACAAGACTCTTAACATTTGAGGAGTATCCTTGTGGCACTTTGACCTCATGTAAACACTCACAAAAGCTTCTCTTTTCTTTCTTCGATAGAGTATGACAAAGCTTGGAGGTAAGTAAGTGCGTTTTCCAAGCTGA